GGTGTCTCCAGCATTACTTGCCTGGGCGGTAGACGGCGTGTGTGGAGTTCGCCACTGCCAAGGTGTGTTGGTAGGTGGTCACGTGCTTTAATTTTGCTTGGGCAGTCTAGTGTATCAGAACATACCCTGGGCAAGCTCTTTAGCCTTTCTTGATCTTGGTCTGCAGGAAGCATTAGGAGAGGGATAAGGCTGAGTGAAGAAACAAGACCAGAAGCCTGGAATTGCTGGCCTTATGATATGTTTTGCACTGTCCATGTGCTTGATCATCCTTTGACCTTAGAGAGATGAAAATATATATATATATATATATATATATAAGCCCAGTGCTCAAGTCATAGAATACAGGCAACATTACATCTGCACAAACTTCTAGGTTACCCTTCATTATCACAAGTTAAGATTTGCAAATTAGATTGAACAAGCACACAGTTATTAATTTTAGGTAACCCCAGCATTGGAGATTTAAATTAATAGTTGAGAATTTATTAAATCTGGTCTGCAAATCTTAATATGTGCTAACACTGATTAATCAAGTTGACAGGGAATCCCTATGCCCTGGTTAATGTTAAAAAAAGGAAAGGAGGGGAGTGAACCAGGTGCAAATCTGTAGAGTAATCTCAGATCCCAAATAATGTATGACTGTGCCATGTTTAGCTCATATAAAAATGGAATTCACATAGTGCATTGAGGCATGGTACATTGTAACTATGGTTTGTTGAAGAAAGCAGAAAACTAAGTCCTCATATAATGCTAAGAGATACACTGTGATAATCCTTCATAAAGAACAGAATCAGCCCAAGTGATTCTAGGCCAGTCATCTTCCCTAGATAGGATCTAAATCTAATCAATAATACAGGCACCTCTTTCTCTAAGTTGCAAACAAGCTGGGGTGAAATCCAGCAGGTTCTGACAGGTTCTGGAGAACCGCTAGTGGAAATTTTGAGTAGTTCAGAGAACCTACAAATGCTACCTCTGGCTGACCCCAGGAGTGGGAAGGGAATGGAGACTTTGCAGTATCTTTCCCCTGCCAACCAAGCCACACCCACCAATCCATACCACTCCCACCAAGCCACGCCCACAGAACCGGTAGTAAAAAAAAATGAATTTCACCACTGAAACAACCCCACAACCTGATTCTGTTCTTTATGACTCCAAACTATGTCCATATAAGAATATATTTAATTTAGGAAAATTGATGAGATTGAAACCAAAAATATCCATCTCCAAATGGTTCCTAGATATACTGGGACATACACTTTTAACTGTAGAAGTGTGGTGTGCTGCAGAGAAGCACAACACACAAAAGATCAAGCAGTAGAGATTCTCCTAACCTCTGGAAGCCAGGTTCTTCTCATCAAAATTTCTTTGGTGATAGGACTAGACTTAGAATTATGGGGAGCTGCTGCTTGCTGCCACCGAGAACAGTGCAACTTTCTCATGAGTATGAGCTATAATTAACATATATGAGGCAGAGACAAGAGGAGAGTGGTCAAAAAAGTCAAAACCCCATCCCTTTTTAGTCAAAATCCCATCCTTTTTTATATCTATCACAACATCCTGACTCTTGTACTCTCTCCAATAGCGCTATGGACACCCTGCAGAGGAAGGATTTTTTTCAATGAATTATTTTCAAATCTAGTTTTTTAAGATAGGAATATTTTTTGAGACAAATGACATTATGTTATTTCCAGCCATAAAAGAATGAGAAAAATCTCATTTGCAATTGAAGTGAAACAGGAGTGCTCTGGAGGCTGCCAAAATGGCCTTGACAGCTGTGGGTTATCCTATTACTAGCATGGGTGGAAGTTTTGCTCCATTTTATTTTAATACTTTGAATTGAATTGAATTGAAGGTTTATTTATATGCCGCCCTTTTCCCTGGGGGGACTCAGGGCGGCTCACAATACTTGCCCTCATCAAGATGTTGAACTTGGTGTTTTAAATGCTGCTTACTGACTTTAGATGTTCCACCTTCTTGTATCATGTGCCAACTTGGCTTCATTGTCTGGGAATTGGCAGAATGGCTGGGTTTGTTCTGACCTAGATTTCCTGAGAAAGCATAAATCACAATCTTAGTCCCCAAAACCCTCTTTTATTTAAACGCTGTTAATTATGGTCACAGCCCATAATGATCTCACAATCAGTCTGTAAAGAGTCTGACAGATGTCTGCTTGAGTTGCCGCAGTCTTTCAGGGTAGCACCCACCTTTATCAACCTTGAAACACTGCCAGAGACCTAATTGCCAATTAGTTTTGCAAGGCCAAACATAGCACAGAGTCCAACAGGACTTCTCAGAGCTTGAACCGACTAGATGAACTAATTGTTTCCTGCAAAAGCTCACGTCCATTTCTTATGGGAGGGGCCTTACTCCCGAGTCACCCTTTTTGTCTTAACTGTTCCTGCCTTCTGGCAGGTCTGCACATACGCATACTGGGATGAGGCTCACGCTGTTCTTGTGCCTCGCTGAATTCAGGCTCTGGAGGCTCTGGAGGCAGCATGTAACTACTAGATGTCCCTGGCCACCTCTCTGCCTCTGAAGCAGAGCCCTCGTCCGAGCCTTCCCCAGACTCCCAAGATTGGCCCATGTTCCTCCCCAACCTCCTCACTATCCAACTCTGTTGCCAGCTCCACAGGCCACCGGCAGACCTCAACAGTGTTGTCTTCCTCTTTAAGATATCATGGAAGGAAACAACAACCTTGAAAAGTTGTAGCAGTGTTCAGCTCCATAGCATAGTCAAGAGGTGCAGAACTAAGATAAAACAATAGGATTGGTTCAGGGGACAGGGATATATTTACTTATATAGTAAACCTACATGCTCCCCATCTCATTTAGAGCTGACTCTAGCTGGCTTATAATATAATTGTGTAGGAAAGCACCATCTTTGTTTAACCAGTTTGATAAGAGAGCAGGAAAATGTGGCAATTTGGATGCAGTAGTGGACTATGTTATGGTGTCCAAATGTAGAGTACATGGGTCCTGAATGATTTACAGGATGGTTCTTTATTTTAGTAATCCAATGTTTAGTGTTTATCATATTTTTTGGAGTATAAGATGCACCTTCCCCCCCCAAAAGGGGGTGAAAATGTGGGTGCATCTTACATACTGAATGCAGCATTTTTGGCCTGCCAAAACCCTGCCCCTTCACAAAAATGGATGTGCAGAGGGTTTGGGAGGCCTGCCAAGTGCTCCTGGGAGCTGGAGAGGGCAAAAATGAGTGAAAAATGGTCTGTTTTTTTGCTCATTTCCCCCACCCTCCGAGCCCACAGGAGCAGTTGGCAGGCCTCTCAAACTCTCTGCATGTCCCTTTTTCACAAAAAATGAGGTGTGCAGATGGTTTGGGAGGCCTGCAGAGTGCAAAAACTTTTTTTAAAGAAATTACCTCTTCAAAATCTTGGTGCGTCTAATATTCCGGTGCGTCTTATACTCCCAAAAATATGGTAGTCTAGCACTAGTTTAGGTAAAATTCCATGTGTAAGAAGGAAAACACAATAGGCCCACATCAGTGTTTACCCAGTCAGTATGTTTTTTATATCACTTGTATACCCCCATCTGTTAACAGTCAATCCTTCTGCCTCTTTCTCTATAGCGGAATGTGGTTCTTCTGTAACCGGGACTCAAGGCGTTCTCTTATCTCCAAATTATCCCCTAAACTACAACCACCACCATGAATGTATCTACTCCATCCAGACACAGCCAGGAAAAGGAATTCAGCTTAAAGCCAGAGCCTTCAGCTTGGAAGCTGGAGATGTCCTCAAGGTAATAACTAATTGTCCGGGGGATTAAAATGAGATTTAAAACAGGAAATAGAACTCTCTTTTTGTTTTTTTTCTAAACTAGTAGTGAATAAATAAAAATTAACCAAAGTTACTAATTACTATCAAGCTTAAAGTATTGACCATAATGGTGATATGAACAATTAATATTATTACAATTGTTAGTATAATTGTTATTATACTATTACAGATCTTAAAACTGATAGGAAGGCAACGTTGAGTAGAGAACTGCAAAAGCTAAACATGTACACTGAAACAGAGGGCTGTAAAATTATTTTATATTGTTATGTTTGTCTTGTTTTTTCTGTATTTGTTGGTTTTTTTCTGTTTTTCAAAGGTAAAACTTTAATAAAAATTATTTTAAAAAATAAAATAAAATGAGATTTAAAGAATACTTAAGCAAAGAGCATTTCAAGAAAATAAGAACGAATGTATTTCAAAGCTGATCAACCCCAGACCAAATTTGCAACCTCTACCAGTTTGCATTTCCATTCACAAAAATGATGGAAAATTGCACCACTCCTTTTTTGGCAGAAAGGGCTATTGAAGTTGGGAAGGTGGGGAGGTTTCATAGGCTGTAGCATCTGGAGGCTTTGAGTTTCTCTCTTATTCTATAAACTGGAAGAGCCATCTCTTTCCTCTGCCCCTTCAACTTCTCAGGGTCGTTTTTACTTGAATATATATTGGGGAAGTCTATTTTGCATGGGGTTGTACGTTCCCAGAAAAAGAAGATCTGTCATATGGGGCTGTTCCTAGACTCCCAACTGCTTCTATGACTTCTGAACAGTGTTGCTTCCCCCAAGTCTTTTGGTGGCTTTCTATATTATCCATAATGGTGGTAGCCTTCTGAACTGTCTAACAGAACCAGGTCTTGAAGACATTGAGATATTGTGCTACTGGTCTATTCTATCAGATTGTGACCAGTTGCTGGGGTCTATTGTTTCACCTCTAGGCTTAGAGCTATGGAGTCCCACATTAAACCACTAAGAGGGGGATCTTAGGAGTAGAGAGTCTTAAATTCAGCTCAGCTTGTTGCTGCTTACCATCTAAATTTGATAATGGGCTGAACGAGAGAAGAACTGAAATCAAATCCAGAGATTAAGATGTTGATAAAGAGGATACTGAGGGATTTGATGGCTCAGTGGCTAAGAGGCTGAGCTTGTTGATCAGAAAGGTCGGCAGTTTGGTGGTTCAAATCCCTAGCACCGCATAATGGAGTGAGCTCCCATTACTTGCCCCAGCTTCTGCCAACCTAGCAGTTCGAAAAGCACATTAAAAAAAGCAAGTACAAAAATAGGAACCACCTTTAGTAGGAAAATAACAGTGTTCCATGCACCTTCGGCATTTAGTCATGCTGGCCACATGACCATGGAAATGTCTTTGGACAGCGCTGGCTCTTTGGCTTTGAAATAGAGATGAGCACCGCCCCCCTAGCACATATGTGTGAGGGGAACCTTTACCTTTATAGATGGATGCTAAACTCATGAGCTTCAACCTAATTTGGATGGGCTTCCACTCTGACAGAAAGAGCAGATTTGCAGGCTGGGAGTGTCTGGATCTGAGGTGAGGAATGCCTTTACATAGTGATCTTCTGTGCCAGCTGCATCCTTTCTTGGGCCAATTGAATATCTCATTATCTACACTTTGGCCTCAACCCATCCTGAATGTAGCAATAGGTTTTATGTATTGCTATCCTTGAAAGCTGTTTAGGAATTGCAACTGGTGCAAAACGACAGTATAACAGAGTTAGAATGGACATTGGTGGTCTTCTGGAGGCAAGTCATTCCATTGATTAATTGTTCTACCATATCACCCTTAGTCCATACTTTCATTAAACCAGATATATTAGTTTAAACTAGAGCCATGGTGGTACAGTAGTTAGAATTGCAGACTAATTCAGCCCATTGCCAGGAATTCAATCCTTACTGGCTCAAGGTTGTCTCAGCCCTCCATCCTTCCGATGTCAGTAAAATGAGGATCCAGATTGTTGGGGCAATGCATTTACTTTGTAAACTGCTTAGACAGTGCTATAAAGCACTATAAAGTAGTATATAAGTCTAAGTGTTATTGCTGTACCTAATTCCTGAAACTGTTCTTCATATGTTTTAGCCTCCAGTCTCCTAATCATTGTTGCTCTTCTCTGCACTCTTTCTAGAACAGAGGTCTTTAAACTTGACAACTTTTAAGACTTGTGGACTTCAACTCCCAGAATTCTCCAGCTGGAGAATTCTGGGAGTTGAAGTCCACAAGTCTTAAAGTTGCCAAGTTTGGAGACCCCTGTTCTAGAGTCTCAACATATTTTTATATTGTGTTGACCAAAATGGGATACAATATTCCAGGTGTGGTGATGGGGTGATTAGACTGCTTACCTATATTCAGATCACATGATGCCTGCAATGAAAGTTACGTACCAGCTATCAATTGTCTACTGGACTCAATTGACCATGCTTAGGTCTTCAAAGCCCTAAATGGGTCTGACAGGATCTGACGATTTCAGAGACTGCCTGTCTTGGGAAACTATCTAGTTTCCCAAATTACAACCACAACTGAAACCAGAATTTTCATTTTTTTTCAGCAAGGTGATTGTTAAGTGAGTTGCACTCATGTTTACCATATTTTTCAAAGTATAAGATGCACCTTTTTCATAAAAAAAAGAGGCTGAAAATCTGGGCGCGTCTTAGACACTGAATACAGCATTTTTTTCCTCCTGAACCCCCGCCCCCTTCACCCAAATGGCCGTGCATAGCTTGTAGGAGGCTTTCAGAGAGCTCCTGAAGGCTGGGAAAGGCAGAAATGAGCAAAAAATGGGCAGGTTTTTGTTTAGTTTTGCCCCTCCCAGCCCCCAGAAGCACTCTATAAGCCTGCTAAAGGCTATCCATGCCTTTTGACAAAAAACGGGCCCATTTTTGCAAAAAAAAAATTTGCTCATTTTTGCTCCTCCCCGGAGCACTCTACAAGCCTCCTAAAGGCTATTCATGCCCCCCCACCCGCCTTTAAAAAAAACGGGTCTGTTTTCACAAAAAAATGGGCCATTTTTGGGAGGTTTGCAGAGTGCAAAACCTTTTTTTTTTGTCTCTTCAAAACCTTGGTACGTCTTATACTCCAGTGTGTCTTATATTCCAAAAAATATGGTATATCCTTTTTACCAATGGATTTTAAGTGGATCATTGTAGTTGTCATGTGAATCATGCAGTCATTATGCAAATCCATCTTACCCCTACTACAATACAATAGAAATTATACAATACAATACAATAGCAAAGTTGGAAGGGACCTTGGAGGTCTTCTAGTC